CCAGGAAATGCGATGCTGGTAGTGGTGGAAGGGGCGAGCGGAAGGGAGCATTGCTAGGTGATAAATAGAAAAGCAGCAGCGGCCATTTACTTCCATTCTCTCCAGCGCATCAGGCTGGGATGATGAGAGGCACTCTTCTAATGGGAGAAGAAGGAAGAGCCAGTACCTAGCTCCAGAGCTCTGCCCTCTCCAGTTGAGACACACGCTTCTTGACTGCAAGGTATTCAAATTGATTTTATCTCTCCATGCTTAAGATTCAATCAAACAGTTCCTTCTCAAAGCTATTCCAAGTGTAGCTTGTGGCCCACTGTGACAAGAGGATCTCTCCTTGATCTAAAAATGCATGTCCACTATTAAGTGGCATTCTACAGACAAAGGTTGTCTTACTAGTAAATTCTGAGGAGTGTCACTTAAAATTTCTAAATTTAACCTGTTAATAGAGTTTGATAAGAATTCGAATGTAGTACTCTACTAAGAAATCTGTCTGCCACACAGTCCTTGGCAGTGCTGGCCAGTTCTCTGTGTATGTGCTCAGAGTTTCGGGGAAGGATGTTTTTTGGGCATCCTGAAGTGTCTCAAGCTGGTTGTGGTTTTCAATTACTGCTATGCTTGTATTAATTGGAAGTTTGTGGAATTACTATTATGTTTAAATTGGGTGGAAATTTTGTTCTTACATAATGGTTGCATTGTTGCCACTTTAATTACTGCTTAGCTTCTTTTGAGTTCTTTGTTAATTGCCAAGGTTTTGTTTTCCGCTAGAAAGTGGGACTGAGTGGGGAAGTTGCATGAAGTTGAGGTTGAACACAGCTAGTCTAGAGCACTCTGCCACTTGTTAGCTTTGTAATCTTTGTAAAGTTATTTAACCTACATAGTGCTGTGAAGTGGAGGCAGTGCTCTTACCCTGTAGGCTTCAGGATGAAATAAAATTATTTATCTCAGTGCTTAGTATGGTGCATGGCACATAATTGGTGAAAAAGTGGTTGAACAAGTGGTTGGTGGTAGGTGGTTACTTTTGTTTCTGACTGCTGTTTTTAAAAAAATTGAGAACCCATTCCTTTGTAAGTTGGTTTTGGATGGTTATTTCTTTTCCTTGCTCTTAGTCCCTTACTCAGTTTCAGTTGGTTAAATTGAAATGCTGATGAGCCCAGTGTTACTGGCTCCCTCAAACTACATTCCCATCCTTAGCCTTTTATCCCAGAAGGGGATACATGTGAAGAGAATTAATGAGGAAGATAAAAATAATGGTGGTGGAATTTTATCTTTATGGAACTCTAAGTGGGACATGGAATCAGTATTCTCTGCTTTGTGTTAAATGTTTTATATCTATTATCTCATTTAATTTTCACAACACCCCTAAGAGGTAGGGAATGTTAATGTCCTCATTTTATAGGTGGTGTGATTAAGGTTTAGAGATGGTAAGTGAAGGGAGAAAGTGTATTAATTGAATTAGTCTTCATAGGAGCCATAATTCAGGGACTGTTTAGTGACCCGTGTCCCCTTGAATTAATACAGGAGAGTTATGTTCTCTCCTTTCAAGACAAAGCTTGCTTGAAAGCTTGCAAACTTGACATAATTCTGCTAATCAATCATAAGACAGAAGCCATGGCCAAAGAGACCTTTTATTTCAGGAAGTTGGCCTCACCTCTTTACTTTATTCAGTATTACACTAGTGGGCCACCAAAAGCTCTATAGAAGAAGCTGTCCCCTGAAACTAATATAACAAGGTATATTAGTTATACTTGGATAATAATAATGAAAAGATATCCCCAGGTTTTATAAAAAAAATTTTTAAATTATAAAATGAAAAGAAAAAGAAAAATACATTTGCAAAAGAGAGAGAGAGAGAGAGAGAGAGAGAGAGAGAGAGAAAGATATCCCCAGAACAGAATGACCATTTTTCAAGGTGAAATGCATACTCTCGGCTTCTGCCAGTATGGGAGCTATTTATGAACTTATAGACTTCTGGTTTTGCTTGGTAGTAATGCACATTTGCTACTGCTTGGAAAAGTAAAAGAGTATTGTAACCTCCCTGTAGAGGCAAGATAGAATAGGAAGCCTCTCACTTGCTCTCTGTCCTTGGACAAACTGTGTAACCTCTCTAGGCCGCAGGTTTCACATCTGCAAAATGGGAACAGTCCTGGTACTTATGCCATAAGGTGGTTAAAAAGATTCAATGAGGTTAAGCCTCTACCTTCAGCTCAGGTCGTGATCTCAGGGTCCTGGGATCGAGCCCCATATCAGGCTCTCTGCACAGAAGGGAGCTTGCTTCCCCCTCTCTCTCTGCCTGCTTCTCTGCCTACTTGTGATCTCTCTCTCTCTGTTGAATAAATCAATAAAATCTTAAAAAAAAAAAAAAAGATTCAATGATGTATGTGGTACTTGGTAAGTTAAACAAAGCCATTCTCACTTAGTGCTATTACCGTGCTGCCATCTTGCCTGTGTGGTGGTGAGGCTCCTCACCCACCCTGGGCCTTCCTTACTGGGCCATGTAGTCACACAGTTCTGGCCGGCAGGGTTTGTTAGGTTTATTTCAAAAAACTCATTGTCTTTGGCTCATAAACTAGCAGAGATGAATGGCCTGGCCTCAGAGTATTGGGCAGCACATGCTTCTGGCACCTTTGGCTCATTGATCACACCTGTCCGATTTGGGGAATGCTTGGGTGTTGCACACACAGGCTTCCTGAGACCCAGGAAACTTTGAAGGGAAGTACTTTGGTGCAATTCTCCTCCTAATAAAGGAGAGCTAAAAGTCTTGCATTTTGTTCTTCTTTTCTGGATTTTGCCATTTATAAATAGGAGCAAGTTTCTCTCAGAATGTTTAAATTTAATGGACAGAATAAATTAGTCAGGATGCTGGAAAATAAAAATACTTGACAAGGTAGAGTTTCTTCCCTTGCACTTGGCTTACCTGGCTTTCCAAGGTTAGTGGAATAGTTTGCTGGTCCTAGCTTTTATTAGGCTACCTGTTTCACTCACAGGTCACAACATCCTGCAGGATTGCATTGCTGCCTCTCTGCCCCTCCTCATCTCCCTCGCCTCTCTACTATGCACTGATTGCCGATTGCACCAGTCTTCTTCCCTCCAAGAGGCTGTGCGCCAGGATCACAGTCTTTTGACTCCTCATCTCTAGAACTTTTAAGCATAAAAACTGATGCCTTTGCCTCAAGTACAGAAACCCTTTTCTTCAATCCTCATCCTCCTGACTTTCAAATAGTGGTTGTGCCTCTTTAGTCTTCTCTAGGAAATCAGTAATAATGAAATGGAGTGATTTGTCTTACTTAGAGTTTGATCATTTGAAACCTTCTTGGCCAATTCCTTTAATTTACAGATGAGGCAGTAGAGGCCCAGACAGGGCGAGAACTTTACCCAGTGACAGAAGTCAACTGAAGGGCCAGGTTGGAAAGCTCCTGACCGGCCATTTCCACACACACTTGCTAGCAGGTAGAAATCTCTTTTAGGGTTTCTTTTAGGGTTTCATGCTCGGCTCACTGCCTCTAGAGGTTAAATAAGTGGTTCTTGGCCAAGAGTAGCCATCAGAATCATCTGGAATAGTAGGTAGGTAGGTAGGTAGGTAGGTGGATAGATAGATGATAGATAGATAGATATGTACATATGTACATACAAACATACTTATGATGGCCAGCTTTACCCTATGCCTTTTCGTATATAAAGAATTAAAATCACCAAAGAGAGATTTGGAAAACTATGTTTACCCCCCTTAAAAAAGAGGGTTTATCTTACTTACTAATGTCACCACATCAGGGATTGGCAAAATGCCCTATAGACCAAATGCAGCACACCACCTGTGAGCTAAATGTGGCATTTATAGATGAACATTTGCAATTGATTTGATAGGAAATACTAACTTTGAACCCTAATTAAGCCAAATGTTATCCTCCTTATGTAAAACCAACAAACAAATAAAACCCTATTCTTTTGATTGGTGGATCTACATTTCAAAAATTATACTCCTTGGAGGAGAGATTCCACAGGATTCTGATGGCCGCTCTTGGTTGAGAACCACTTACTTAACCTCTAGAGGAAATGAACCAAGCATCTCTGAAAAGAGACCCTTGGAACTCTAAAAGGGATTCTAACCTGTGATGAATATTATACCTATATATTGCCTATATTTCAGTTTCAAAAAAATTGCTATGTTTTAAATTTTGTCAACCAAAAATTTGTGGAAATTCACTTTTTCTCTTGTTAAACAAGCATCTGCATAATATTGATTTTGTTTCTTGGCCCACAAAACCTAAAATATTTACTACCTGGCTCTTCATAGGAGAAGCTTGCCGATTCTTGTAGTATGTCATTACGTGTTTTACATTGGGGTATTTTCTCTTTTTCTCTATTGGACCACTTTTCCCTTTTATGATTTCTATAAATAATTTAAGGGTTTTACATTGTAAAAGTAACATATTTTCCTTACAACTTTCAAATTTCAAAACCATATAAAGCAGAATGTGAATGGTTCCATTTCCCAGTGTTAACACTTAACAGTTTATAATGCATCTTTGTCCTGACTTCGCCATTTACTAGCTGTGAGACCTTAGTTAACCTAAGTCTCAAATTCTCCATCTGTAATACATTGATGAGTTCCTACTCAATTGAATTGTTCTATAGATAATTTGAGATCATTCCTGTGAATTGCTCAACATGTTGCTTGGTGCCCAGTAAAAGCTTAATGATTGTAACTATTTAAAACTTTTCTTCTTTTTAATTTAAATATACGCATGAGTTTTTTTTTTTTTTTTTTTTTTAAGAATATGATCTGTTTTTAAGTTAAGTTGCACAGGTGATTCTGATATATATATAGGAATACCTGAAGTAAATACTGGGAAGTAGGTAATTGTAGAGAGGATTCATGTTTGGGGGACAGAAATTGCCTTCCATTTTATAGCATAAGTTAGGGAAAGGGGGCAGGTAATGATTTTATTATTTGAACCTGTAGGGTGGTATAAAATTCACACAAGTAAATGTTTATTTCTATTTTCCAGGTCTACAATTCGAACAAAGACAGCCAGAGTGAAGGGAGTAAGTATGTCCCTTAGATGATTTTCTACAGCTGGGGTTGGGATTGAGCTTTAAAAGTTGCTATGCTGGGGAAGAACCACCAGGGGGTGCTGTGGGCATGTTGGGTCTGCCCCATTTCCCTGGTGTAGTCAGTTGCTTCCATCCTGACTTACCATCTCAGAAACTCCAGGATATTTCAATGAGCCTGACTGGCAAGACCGTAGTGACACCTTGCATTTTATAACCTTTCACACTTGACAAAGCATTTTCATGTATATTATCTCAGTTAACCCTAGGTCTTGAGAATGTAGTTCCAATAACCACTTAAAAGCCACTTGCTTGAGTACTGTGTAGCTTCCCAAGAACCTTGTCCTATGGGAAAGCCAGAATTGCCTCCTACACAGTCTTGTTCAAGGGACTGGTTAGGCAACAACTATCTTAGTGATTGCTTAGTAACTGTGTGTTCTTTGTTACCTTTTGGAGAGGAAAGAGTAGAGTTGGTGAAGTCTGTAATAATATTCCTCTTTGATGGGAATGACCCTGGGCAGCCTCTGTAGAATATACAGCACATTTCCCCTGCTGCTGGCTCTGAGCACTCTGGTTAATCATAATTTCCAAGAGCATCTGTAACCTTGTAAAGATGATGGGATTAAAATGAAAAGGCACTGCTAGTGTTAGGGCTGTTGATGTCCTTGGTGCCTAGGAGTATGAACCAGTTCCTTCCAGGTTGCTAACAAGAGTGCAAAGGAAATCCTGTCCCCTTGCCTCAGATTTGCTTTGTAAAATCTACTTGGAGAAACATTCAAAGAGCCCTCCCGTGAATTCCAGTGATGTCCAAAAAATCAGTAAAGCAGTGTTTCTCCATATGGACAAAAGGATGAAGTATTTTTGTGTGTGTTAAATCCATTAAAGGACAGAGATTTTCCTTTCATTCTTTCCAAAATACAGATTTTGACCAGGAGTTTTATATATAAAATATTAGGTAATTTGGAGTGGTTGGTATTGGTAGGTTAAGAGACCTTTAGAAGAGCGAAAATATTTTTTCTTCTTTTTCCTTCAAAAATTGAATAAGGGAAATTTTTTTCAAGGAAACAAGTGCTTTTCCCTGCCTCTGTATCCCCAGGTGGGATTGTTTCAGTATATCTGAAATCAATTATGGCTAACGTATTCTAAGATAACAATAGCAAAAACCACAGTAATAAAAATGAAGGAATATGGAAGGCTGTTGAGTAACTTGCAGTAAGGTAGGAAGAGCTGAAGAGCCAGGCTTGAAAGCATACCAGCTCTGGAGCCCAGGAACCAATAAGAAAGGGTCTTCTGAATAATATCTGCAGGATGACAAAGCTCTAAACTGTTTTTTAGTACCTGCCTCACTCTTCTGAAGATTCAGATTCCTAGAAAGATAACAACAGGTTGGTCTAGCTTAGGCTGATGCAGGGGAAAACAACACACTGTTGCTGACAGTTTTAAGAGTATTGCATAAAATGGGAGCATTTTATGCAGTGGGAAATCGGGGAAACCACCAGAACAAGAGAGGATAGATGGCCAAGCAGACTTAAATAAGATGCCCATGTCATGCCCCAGCCTGGGACACACTATTCTATAATGAGTGACCCGAGAACTCTGAGGAATGGGATACGTATGAGTGACTACCAACCAGAAGTTTGCTTGTGACTTTTGATAAACCTTCTCCTCTCTGCTTGAGATCAGTGCCAATAGATTTGAAAAATGACCCTGATTCTCTGGGTGGGCATGCCATCTGGTTATACCATTCTGTAGGGCCTTTGGGGAATATGTATTAGAAGCTAGTATCCTTTGAACCAGTGATTTATCCTAAAGAAGTAGACCGAAGTACAAAAATGTTTGTGCAACAAGGAAGTGAACTGGAGCATTGGTAATAATAACAAAGAGAGACAATTAGATGTGCAATAGGAAGTTGATTAAAAATATCAAGATGTGGGGCGCCTGGTGGCTCTGTTGAGTGCCTAACTCTTGGTTTTGGCTCAGGTCATGATGTCAGGGTGGAGCCTCGTGTTGGTCTCCGTGCTCATTGCAGTCTGAGATTCTCCCTCTCCTTCTGCTTCTTCACATTCCCTTTCTCCCCCCCCTCTCTCAAGTAAATAAATAAACTCTTTAAAAATATCAAGATACTGTGTAGTCGTTAAAAAGAACAAGAGCAATCTAGGTGTATTTGTGGAAGTGGTGTCCTCGGTATCTTATTTTGTTGTTGTTGTTTTGTTTTAATTTGACAGAGCACACAAGCAGAGGGAGAAGAGAAGCAGGGGCCTGATGTAGGGCTCGAACCCAGGATGCTGGGATCATGACCTAAGCCAAAGGCAGACACTTAACTGACTGAGCCACCCAGGCACCCCACACAGTATATCGTTAATTGAGGTTTAAAAAATCACGTTACAGAGCAATGTTCTTAGTAAAATATTTGACTTCTCTAGATATATTGATAGAAAAAAGTCTGGAAAGACCTTGATCATGAAACAGATAGAGTGGATAGAGTGTAGATTATTGGGAGGGGCTGACCTTCTGTTTTAAATACTTCTCCATGCTTTGCATTGTCTGCAGTGATTATATATTTTAAAATCATAGCTGTTTATCCACCACTTACTATGTTTATGAATGTTTTATGTATATGAGCTTAGTTAATAATTGAAACACTGTGAGATAGGCACTTTCGACCTACTTTGTATATTAGGAAATTGAGGTTAGTAAACTCAGGCAGCACAATGTAATCTGAACTCTAACACTAGAGATTCTACTGTTAACCACAGAGATACTCTACCTCCCAAAGAAAAGAGCAACACAGAAAGTTCCATTTTGGAGACTACAGACCCATGCAACAGTTTGCTTTTGGCATACCATTATTCACAGAGCCCAGAGAGCTGGCTGCCTGGAGTGTCTAATGATTTTTCAATTGCTTACCCTTTCATTTAGCAAGCTGGAGAGCAAAATGATGGATTAAAACATATTGGCTATTTTTCCAGGAGTGGTTTGGATAGAAACAATTTTTTAAAGTATTATTCCAAAAGTTGTTGTGTTTCCAAGCTGGCAAAACCAGAGCAGTGATCTGGATTGATACTTTATCACCTCCTCTGGCATTGGGACCCCATTTTCCCATCATACGATACCTTAGCTCCCTCTCTCTTCTGACATAGTTGAACTTCCCATGTCTGTGGATCAAAGTAATTTTCATTTTCCCTCCACACCCGCCCATGGGCTCAGCTGCCACCACAGGTGGCACTGTTGTCCAGGGTCTGATTGTTCTGCAACCCAATGTTTATACCACCATCGAAACTGTTTTTGAGGGACGTCAGTCTAACAAGAATTTCAGAGTGTGGCATTGCTCTTTTTGCCTTGAATATCCAAATTCTAAATGTGTAGGCTTTTCCTTTCTAGAAAATGTTTTCATGGGCGTTTGAATGCCACTATTTTATCCCAGAGTCAGAGTGTTTTGAAGGGGCAGGTAGGAAAAGGAAATTCCTTTGGGGAAACTTCTGAATTTGTTGCTTTGATCTTGAAGTTCCTCTCAGGGCATACAGTGCCTGTGGGGTATCAGACAGGTCCATAAATAATGCCTGTCAGCTGCTGGTATTTTCCGAATGGTCCAGTTGTCAGGGAGAGGATGGCAGCCGATAAACAAACACAAATTTCTTTGCAGAGCCTTTTTCCTGTCTTCTTCTCTAGTCTCTGTTTGAATCTCACGTGTAGAGGGATTGCAGGAATCATACTACGCAGTTTGCGGCATGGGATCATCACAGGCCCCTTGCTTCATATTTATTGATTCATTCATTTCTTTATTTCTTTGCTTTTAATTCTTTTCGCAGCTCTTATTTCCTTCCTTCAATATAGACCACCACTCTAATGTGTACATTAAGTGTATTTTTGAGCAATATTGTATCTTTTATCTACCATGATGGTATGTCATGTTCTCTTTCTTTGCTCCCTCAGCATTGTATTGGGAGCCATCCCTATTCCTCTGTCTGCTTCTAGACTGCGGCTTCTGTCCGCTGCACCTTCTGTGGTGTATCACACTCTGTATCTGTTTTTACACAGCTGCACTCTGTATCTCCTTAGGACTTCAGCTCCTCATGAGCACTAACAGCACTGCAGTGAACAACTTTGTATAGCTTGTACATCTCCCTGTGTGAGAATTTCTTTGGGATATACCCTTGAGGAGAATTGTTGGCTGATCCAAGGTTGTGAGTATACTTAGTTTGAGGGAGTAATTCTCTGGAGTGGTCTGTCAGCAGTCCCATCAGCCCTACATGAGGATTTCTTCATTTCTGCCAACTTATTTGGCTTTCGAATTTTTTTGTCAATCATATAAATATGATAGCTCATTATTGTTTTGATTTGCATCTGTCTGATAATTAGTATGTTTGAGCATCTCTTCATATGCCTTTTGACTGGGTTTCTCCTTCTTTGGATTAACTGTTCATGTCCTTTTTCAAGTTCTCTTTTATTTGCAACTTTTTTCTTATTGATTTGTAAAGTTTCTTCTGTATCTTAGAGAGTCATCACTTGTTAGCTGTAGACGTTTTAAATACATTTTCCTACCTTGTCATCTGTTAATATTATTTGTGATATTCTTACTTGAATGTAAAGCCCTCTTATATATTGAAGTACCCTTTTTTTAAAAAAATTTCACCTTCTGGTTTATGATTTTCAAGTTATGTTTTAAAGAAGGCCTTTCTAACCCATGTCACAGAGATGTGCACCTACCTTTTGTTTCATTGGCTTCATGATTCTGTCTTCCATGTTGAGGATTTTAATCCCACTCATACCTACCATCGTATGTGGTGTTTCCTGAAGATCCAGTTTTACTGTTATCCACATGAAGAATCAGCTTTCCCACAAATGTCGTTCTTTCTGCTTTTGACTTACAGTGCCAGCTTTATTGTATATTAGGTTTGTGTATCTGAGCTCTTTCTCTGGGTTCTTTAAGTTCTTGGCCTATTTGTTCTGGTGGTAATACCTCTCTGCTTTTCATATAATATCTTTGTGGAAAG